AGGTTCTTGTGGCATTTTTCCGTTGTGGGTCTGCTCCCCTGCTTGCCATTGGGTCTTGCCCAAGTTGTCAGCTCTGGGCCACTGAGCCCGGCTGATTCAAAAGTACTCAATGTCTTACTTCTGCTTCATGTTCCACTCGCTATAAGACTTCAAACTTAAAAAAAATATATTCCTAGCTATGTAATTCTGAGGTTTGGAGCTCTGCCCTGAATCTCCTTTGCCTGGCATTCCGTGGTATTGCTTTCGGTGAACCTCACTGCACCTCTACTATTCCCATATAGTTTTAAAGAGCATAATGCTCAAGACAGACATTATTTGTTAGTTAAGCTAAACAATTATTTGGCTGTAAGAAAACTTCAGGGTGATATGTCAGATTTAAGTTTTAAAGGTCTCAGGACAATCATTTCAGAGTTTTATCCAGTTTTCTTGGCATCATAAGAATTTAAAGTTCTGTTCTCCATTTTCCCCCTTTGGTAGGGATCTTTTCTAGAATCTTTGATCAAAATGTTTAGTAATAGCAATTGGGAACTCTCCAGTTCCTCTGATCTAGTGGCAAAAGAAGCAGCTGTTTGTGGAGGAAATTAGCCACACATTTCATATCCTTTTGAGCTACTAATCTCAACTCGACGGCACACAACAATAACAACAACAATATTTTAAAGCTTATTCACAAGTCACTTCTGATTATGTGTGAAAACAAAATTGCTATGGACTGACTGCTAATAAAGTAGATGTAATCTTCTATCTTCTAATTACCATGTGATAGTTGCCTTTATTGGGTACAAATACCAAAGAATTGTATTGGATCCATTCCAAAGAAAGGTGACCCAATAGATTGCAGAAATCATTGAACAAAATCATTTAATATTACATACAAGTAAAATTTTGCTGAAGATAATTTAAAAATGGCTGTAGTGGTACATTGACAGAGAGCTGCCAGAAATTCTAGCTTGATTCCAATGAGGACATGGAATGAGTGATATCATGGCTGATATCAGATGGGTCTTGACTGGGAGAGAATACCAGGAAGACGTCTACTTCTGCATTATTGACTAAGCATAAGTATTTGACTGTATAGATCATAACAAATCAAGGACAGCATCACAAAGAATGGGTATTCCAGAACAGTGTACATAATCCAAGTAGCAGTTACCTGAACAGAACAAGGGGATACTGAATGGTTTAAAATCAGGACAAGTTTGTGCCAGAGTTGCATCTTTTCATCATAGTTATTCAATCTGTGGGGATCCTGGTGTGGCGCAATAGGATAAGCACTGGGCTGCTAACCACTAGGTTGGTGGGTCAAACCTATCAGCTACTCCTTGGAAATACTCTTTGGAAACACCAGAACTCTGATATATAAGTAGGGAATTTGAACAAACAAACAACATTAAGGACAATATAAATGACTGTATGGCTGGAAATAAAGGGTATTTTCAGAGAAGTTGGGTCAGGATTAGCTGTCAGGAATTTTTACCAAAACAATATTAGTAGGTACCATTGAGTCTGTTCCAACCCCATGTACAACAGAATGCAGCACTGCCTAGTCCTGCACCATCCTCACAATGATTGTTACTGTTTGAGTAAATTGTTGAAGTCACATTGTCAGTCCTTCTCATTGGATGGGGTGGGAGGGGGCCTCCAAAGTTTCGCTGACCCTTCACTAAAAATAATGTTAGAATGGTATTATTCAGTTGTTGCCAGGAAATATTCCCATCTAATAGTCAACCAATTTTTTTTATGCCAAAAGAATTTTAGTTACAACTGAGTTGTAGTAACATATACCCAATGGAGCATTTAACTGTGATAATTTTAGGACAAGAAGAGAAGTATAACTTGCTTCAAAGTAAATAATAATAATAATAATCTTTATTATTACAATGTCTAGCACTAAGTCGAGGTCCTGGGTAGTGTAAATGGTTTGTATCTGACTGTTGTTGTTAAATGTCATTAAACCAGTTCTGACTGATTAAGTTCCTGTATAGAAGTTCTGAGGAGTGACTGGTACTTTTAAACTGTTGACCTTATGGTCAGCAGTCCAATGTTTGTCTTACAGTGCCATACTTGTATCTGACTTCTAACCTAAAAGTTGGCAGTTTAAGTCCACTCAGTGGCTTCACAGAAAAAGACATTGTGATCTGCTATCTAAAGATTCCAAAACAGAAACCTAATGCCATGTAATTGATTTCAACTCGTAGTGATCCATACAGTTTCTGAGGCTGTAAATCTTTATGGGAACAGAAAGCCTCATCATTCTCCCTCAGAGCAACTAATGGTTTCAACTGCCAACCTTGTGGTCAGCAGTGCAGGCAGTCCACTGCTTATCCTACATCACCATCAGAACTCCAGTCATGAAAACCCTATGGAGCATTTCTATTCTCCTACACAAAGAGTTGCCATGACTCAAAATCAACTCTACATCAACTTTGTTGTTGTTGTTTCACTCCGTTTTAGTGTTAAGTCAATTTCAACTCACTGTGACCTCACAGAACAGAGTAGAACTGTCCTACAGGACTTCCGAGGCTGTAAATCATTAAGGAATCAGACTGCCATATCTTTCTCCCATGGAGCAGATACAGGGTTCAACCCACAGATCTTTTAGCAGACAGCTGAGCTCCTTAAGCACTGTACAACCATGACAACTCCTCCTTTTAACATTGGTGTTGTGGTTAAGTGCCATCGACTTGGTTCCAACCCATAGTGACCCTGTATAGGGTTTCTGATGAGCAGCTGGCAATGTTGAACCACTGACGTTAAAGCTCAAACCAACATTGCAGTCCAGTTCATTAACCTACAGCGCCAAAACAGTACTTCTTTTAACATCCTGCCAGTGCAAAAGAAAAATGGTGTGTTTCTACAATGTCAAGAATTTGCTTCTTGAGAGCATAGTGTAGTAGAACCAACACAGTAAGCAGTTATAAAAAAAAGCAACAGAATGATCAAGGGTAACCATATGACTAGTGTGATAACTGTGGATGCAGTTTAATTCCTTCAAGAGTGGCACCAAATAGTCTGGTATTCAAATGTGTAACATTAGTGTAAAAAAGGGATACAGAAGAAAACAGCAGAAAACCAGAACAAAAATTAGCTCAACTGGAAGGCTCTATTTAAACAAAAGCATCACTATTCTTGTAAATATTTAATCATACTTTTTCTCTAATCACTTCAAGTTTTTCCACTGTATTGGAATTCCAAAGATTCTAACTTATCCAGAAGTAGATATAAACAAATGCTGCTATTAAAATTGCACTCATAAAAGTATCCATCTAAAGGTCATGGGAGCATGAGCTGAAAAGCCCTTCAGAAAGTTGACAACAGCCCTTCAGGTCAATGTCACGTTCATTGCTGCCAATAGCAGTCATTAGGGACAGTTTCTCCCAACAGCTGAAGGGCCTGATGCCATTTCAGGATATTCTACCAATTTCCTTGTAAAAACTTACAAGGAAAATCATGAAGCATGTTCATTAAGGGAACTTTCCTGTCTGTTGCTGTTATTCAAATATTTTTATTTTGTTTTTATTTTTAAAATATGAACATCTCCTATGTCATGTCAGGTAAATGTGAGTCCATTAGGCTTTGGATCTACTCGATTGATGTGCGATCCCCAGTTTTGATGAAATATTTGAAATGCACACACATGAATATTTGAAATACACAAGAATCCTAAATGTATGTAAATTTGTTTAGGTAGCACATAACCAATTGTTTCTTGGGAAAAACATTTGCCTATTTACAGATAAAACAATAGGACTTGGGCATCCCTGAATCTATCTAACCTTACCTTTCTCGTTCAATCTCTCTCTGAAATACCATTTCTTCCCCACTTCATGTCAGCTCTCTCATGTCCTAAAATTCTTTCATTAAGGTAAGAAAACTCCTACCTTACCAATAAAATGTTTGTTTATATTACAAAGGAAACTTACTTCTTTGGAAATTTCTAGTACTTGTACACCACATAATTTATACATATTATACTAGGCACTTATAATCCATTGCCTTGTACTGATCATTTTTTTTCTTAAATATAAATAGATACTTTCTGTGAGACTAGATTGTAAGCACCAAGAGGCTAAGGTCAATGTACTGTAGGTGTTCCGAGCAAGGATCCACTACCTAATTCTCATTGGCTGAGTTGGCAGCCTGATTTCACTGATGGTTAGTTGTGTGCCTTGAGCAAATTCCTTACCCACAGTGTTCTCAGCTGTAAATGGGAATAATAAGAGCATGGGCCTCATCAAGTTGTTCAAATACTGAAATGACAAAATCCGTGAGGCATAATGCCTTGCTTATAGAGAGTTCAATAAAGTTAGCTACTGCTGTTAATTGATATTTTTTTTTCCACCTGCCAGACTATGAACCTTGCACAAGGTGTATGTGTTCAACGTAAGTTTCTGGTGCAGCAGACATGAATGGATTTAGCCATGCAATATCTATTTATCAACCTGGTGACTATTCCTTAGTTTCCTTCTGGGGAAAGGAATTTCCCATTCCTCATTCACTAGCCTGTTGTTATGTAGTTTCGACTAAATCCACTGGACAGAATGAAAGAGTCAGTGTTGCTGTGAAGCATTAAGAACTTAAGTTAGGACACCTTCCACCAAGTATCTTCTTCATCACCTGCCTTCCTACTTTGTTCACCTTGCTTAAAATAGACCCCAACTGCTCCTTTCCCACTGGTGGCTCCTGCATCTGCTCTGGCTCCTGGAAGTGCAGAGTGCAAATGCACCTCCTGGAAGCAGAGTTGCCGCTCCTGCTGCCCTGAGGGCTGTGCCAAGTGTGCCCAGGGCTGCATCTACAAAGAGGCATCAGATACTTACAGCTGTTGTGCCTGATGTGGGAGAGCCCTGTCCAGGTGTAAATAGAGCCACCTGTACAAAGCTGGAGTTTTAACTGGTATATCCCTGACCTCTTTTTTTTCTATGCAGTATCTGAATGATAGTAAAAGTTGACTTTTAAAGTTGACTTTGAAAAAAAAACAAGAACATTTTAGGTATACAGAGACATTCCTGGTTTTGGTTTTGTATTTTTCATACTTTATTTTGTTTTGGTGTAATATGTAAGTCTGAAACAATAAGGACCCCAACAACACTGGCACCAACCCTTCAATGACAAAAGTAAGCTTCTGAGAATGGTAAGAGGAAGCTTCTTTAAAAAGAAAAAAGAAAAACTTGATCTTGGTGGTACTATTTGAGGGCCATTAACAGGAGTCCTGGTGTGGAGCTGTGGGTTAATGCACTGGACTGTAAAGTCGGTTTGAACAACAATATCGGCAGTTCCAGCTTACCAACTGCTCCTAGGAAACCCTATACAGGGTGTCTATGGGTTGGAACTAACGTTAACAGCACTTAACAACAACAACTGGGTGAAAGGGATGAAGGTTGTGCCTTGACTCCAGAACATAGAATTCTCTTTATCAATACTGACCTAGCTAATGCTAGAGGTAAGTGCCTAATCTGCCAAACGCCAAGACCAATATCAAGACCCCCAATGTTGCATAATTTGGGGGAACCAGCTAGTCACCTTATGGCAGGTTGGTTATATTGGATACTGTCCAACAGGAAGAGCAAGACAAACAAAAGTTTGTCCACCAGAAATATACACATATTCCAGATATGGATTTGCCTTCTCTTCCCATAGTGCATGTGCTAGCATTGCCATGCAAGATAATCTGTACAGCCATGCATCTGATCAAGTAACTCATTTTTCAGCAAAGAAAGAGCTAAACTAATCTCTCCAAAGTGACCCAGCTGATTGAAAAACATCATTGTACCACTTAGGACACAACAGCTTGAAAGGATTGAGGTCTATCTTATAGTATGCTCTGAATCAGAGATCTTTATCATTTCACCATACCCAGAACGAATACATGGGTCTGGGAATAAAGGGGTGACAGTTGGAGTGACTCCTTTTGTAATACTCAATAGCGTAGTTGCAGGAATTTTGTATTTCCTCCCAGAACCTTTGTGCTCTGCTACTTTGACAAACTTAGTCCTCACTAGGGGACTATTTACACCAGGAAACACACAATAGTTCCATTAAGTTGGGAGATGAGACTGCCACCTGGCCATTTTAGCCTTCTTGGTGTGGCACTGTGGGATAAAACACTGGACTACAAGGTCAGTTTGAACCACAGGGTTGGTGGTTCAAACTCACCAGTGGCTCCTTGGAAACTCTATATGGGGTCGCTATAAATAGGAGCCGACTCCATGGCATTTAACAACAATGTTATCTGATGGGGTCCTGGACCTTAAGGTGGTTTGAATTGCAAGACTGGCAGTTCAAACTCACCAGTCGCTCCTCAGAAACCTGATACAGGATTGCTATGATTCAGAATCAACTGGATGGCACTTAATAACAACATGTTAACCAAAAAGTTGGTGGTTCAAACCCACCCACTGACCACTCTTCTGAAAACCTATGCAGGGTCGCTATGAGTTGGAACTGACTTGATGACACCTCACTAACCACAAGGTCAATTTGAACTGCAATGTGGGTGGTTCAAATCCACCAGCCACTCCTTGGAAACCCTATACAATCTCTATGAGTCAGAACTGACTCTATGACAATTAACAACAACTACAACATTAATAATAGGGGAGTCTAAAATGGCCTGGTCTGGTGCTGTGGGTTAATGTGCTGGACTGTAAAGTAGATTTAAAGCATAAGATTGGCAGTTCAAACTCACCAGCTGCTCTTTGGAAACCCTATACAGGGTTGCTATGGGTCAGAACTGATTATATGGCACTTAACAACAACAACAAAATGGACAAGTGGCAGTTTCATCTTACAATCTAGCGGAACTATTCTGTGCTTTCTGGTGTAAATATTCTTCTAGTGAGGACTAAGTATTCCAAACTGGCAGAGCTGAAAAGTTTCAGGAAAAGAAAAAAATTTCTGCAAGTTAGGCTTCTTATGTTACTAAAGGAATCCTGGTGTGACACTGTTGGAGTCCTGGTATAGCACTGTAAGATAAGCACTGGACCGCTAGCCACTAAGTCAGCCATTCAAACCCACCAGATGCTCCACGGGAACCCTATTCAGGGTCGCTATGAGTGTAACCGACTTGATGGCACTTATAACAATATGTCACTAAAAACACAGGGAAAGTAAAAGTAAAAAGAGTTTACTTTCCTAGAAAAGATGACTGATCTTAATTGCCAAGAGATTTGTTGTTGTTAAGTGCCTTCGGCTCATAATGACACTGTGTAGGGTTTCTGAGGAGCAGCTGGTGAGTTTGAACTTCCAACCTTGTGGTTCAAACCGACCTTAAGGTGCTCATCTTACAGCGCTACAATTGCTGCTACATAATAAAGCAATGAGGTCTGTGTCTGGGAAACAGTGGATTCTCGTGGGACTCTCTTAGTACTAACCTTTTCACTACTAACTCAACTGTGAAGGTTAGGGAAAAAAACAGAACCTAATGAAACAAACGAACAGTAGACAAAATAACTGAATATTTAGATCCTTCAAGAATAAAGGTGGGACTTACTCTATTAAAGAATTCTGAAAAGCTGAGAGCAACAGGAGTATGGAATGTGCAGTGAGAAACAGAGCTAAATATCAACTAAACTAAACAGAGCTAAATCACAACATTTCTTGTGAGAAATGATAGAAATAAAGATGATGTTGTTGTTGCTAAGTGCTGTAAATTCTGACTCATAGGAGACCATGTTTCTGAGCAGTGGTTGGTGGTTTGAATCACAATAATTGTGATTAGCAGTTCAGTGCTTATCCTACAGTGCTACACCAGGACTCTATGTAAGTACCCCCCTCACACACCACAGTTTGTTGTTGTTGTTGTTAAATACCATCGAGTCGATTCGGACCCATAGTGACCTTATATAGGGTTTCCAAGGAGCAGCTGGTGAGCTTGAACCACCGACCTTGCAGTGCAAATGACTTTGCAGTCTGACACATTAGCCCACAGAGCCATACCACCAAAGTTTATTTCATATTGATTCCAATTCACTGTGAGTCCTTGTGCTTCCGAGTAGAACAATGCTCCATGGGGTTTACAATGGCTGATTTTTTAGAAGTAGATCGCTAGGCTTTTGTTAGATTGAAGAATTCATTTACAAACACTAACTTTTTTTCTTCTGGGAGATAACCCCTTAGTGACATTCACACCAAACAAGTTTCCAGTAGCTCTCCTATGAGGAGATTCCCAGTATATACCTCAGGTGCCCTGACTGATGAATTTTCAGCCTCAGCCCGCCGGCAATCTATGGGGGTGGGTAGGTGTCTCCTTCTTGCCAATCAGGGTGTGAAACAGCTCACCTGCTTCAGGTCTATAGCTCAGATCTGCCAGAAACAATCTGATCTCTGTACCATTTTATAATCTCTAATGAAGCCCAAATTCCAGCTTGGGCATAGCAAATGCTTCGACCAAGTTCAAGTATGTTCCTTCCTTATTATTTTCTCTCTATGCAAGGTTGTTCTTGAGAGTTTTGTTTGTTTTGTTTTTTAACCCTTTATAGTTAATTCCTTGTTATAATTAATAATTCTGTATATTAAACTTTTTTGGTTCAAATTGTCTCTCTTCATTGGGCACTACTGATATGTCATTTGATATTTATTTGGCATCGGTTAGCTCCAAATTAGTATGAAATGTAAGCTCTAAAAAGAATGTCTTACAACCATTGCTATGTACTATAGCCATGCAAGACACATTACCTGTTGGGGAATGTCAGGGCATGCAGCATTTCCTCCCAGTCTCTCCTAGACACCAACAATCCTACTCCACTTGAATTCGTGCCTAGCTTGATATCAACTCTTGTGACTTGAAGAATATTATGGGGGGCCCACCAAGCCTGAGAAAAAAATAGCAAAAATTCAGTGCTTAGATGACCGTGATTAGCAGCAAGATACATTTCTTTCTCCATGAAAAGGTGACTCTCATTTTTGGCAGTAGCAAACCCATCAATGCTTTCATACAATGGGAAAAAAATGTGTGTACATATGTGTATATGTTGGGGGCTGGTAACACTATATTTTAATCAAAGTTCCCAGGACAACAATCAAAGTTACAAAGTGAAAAGATAAAACAATTGCCAAACCACCAACCATTCTTTCTGTTTTCTTTGTAACCAAAAATCATCCTAGAAAACTAAATAAGCGTGTTAAAAAAAAATCACAACTCTTTACTATATTTGGTCAAAACCAAGATATTTTCGGATAGAATAACCCACTCCAACCCCCAACCTTATTCTTGATGTGGGTAGATAAAACTTGGAATGAGTCTTATGTTACCACCTGAAATTCATTGTGAGTTATTTTTTTCCAAGAAGACATCAGAAGCTATTTTTTAACTAACAGCAGAAATTCCACTTGAGTCAAAAGTGTATTCATCTAAATATTCAGTTATTTAAGTTTGTTTGGAGGACATTTGGGGCAAGTTACTTCCCAACATATATTTACATGGAGAATCAATGGCCTCCTGGGCAAGCATTATACTGAAGGAGGAAACAATTGAAGCACAAGTGTTTTTTCTGGAGCAATGAGCTGCATCTGCTCCTCTTCTAAGGAGAACTACTAGACCCTGGTACTATTCCGCTTTCTGTCACATGTGCGACGGTAACATGGGCTCTTTTGTTTTATTACCTGTATCCTGCTTCCTTCTACTTGCCCTTCATTTATCAGCTCAAATGTGACTTCCTCTATCTCCTGGTGTGGGATAACTGCAACAGGAAAATGTTGTTGTTGTGAAGTGTCGTCTAGTCAGCAACCCTGCATAGGGTTTCCTAGGAGCAACTGGTGGGTTTGAACTGTCAATCTTGTGGTTTGCAGTGCAGTGCCACACCAGGACTCCTTTATATTACACTCTTATAGTAAA